TGTGGGAGAGGTCTTAGATTGGTAGATGTCAAGAAGATGGCCTTGCTTAAAATATTCAAGTGTATAATCACACTCTATGTCGAAACTGGTACATTGAGGGCACACTGCATTCCATTAGGAATCAAACGTCAACCAGCCAGAACTGAGTGAGTTTAAGGCCCTCGAGAAGAAATGAAAATTCCTTTTGCTGATTCCTTTCACTTTAAACGTTCAAATCACATTTTATTTCTTCTGTTTCTGTCTCTGGTTGTTACTTTGTAAAAACTGAATAAAAAAAGTCATTCTTAATCTAAAAAGTGGGTTGAGATTAAATATCTCAGATTAAATCTCTTAATGAGTTCTTTCGTTGGTGTTCCGTGCTCCAAAGGATTTACAAAATGACCTTACGATTTGAACCCTTTCCCGGTCTCAATTGGCTATTGAGGATTTCTTTTTTTCAAATAGGTTTGATTGATACAACCTAATATCAATTCCTTGTTTGCAGGTCTTCCTGGTAAAGTCAGGTTCATGGCTACGGCTTCATCGTCATTCGCGTCTACGAAAGAGACTACCAACTATGCAAGGCTATGCCGCCTCCTGGTGGATGTTGGATCTCAGGTGCTCCGGTCCACTTTTGACAAAATACATCCACCAGCGACTCTACATACAGTTTTGGGAAGTACCTCAGTGCATTACGCTAGATTGCAATCACTGTACAGAGGAAGGAGGAAAGTGCTGCATCCCACGCAGTGGGGGAAGTTGTACCCTACTCACTCACCCGTGTCTTCTGCAACCTTCGATATCACTCTTCTGACGGTGCTTCTTAGAAATATCTGTGGTTTGGGCCCTCCTATAAATGGATGGGATCGTCTTCCCCTAGCCACAAGCATAAGCATCTCTGATGACATAGCCAGAGTTAAGTATTACAGGAACACTGTATACGCCCATGCTTCTCAAGCCTCTGTGGATGACAGTAGTTTCAGTTGTTACTGGCAGGAAGTAAGAGAAGCTTTGGTGAGACTGGGAGGAGCTCATTTTAGAGCTGAAATCGACAATCTTGAGCACGACTGCATGGATCCAGATGTCGAGGAGCATTATCGTGAACTGATGATACAATGGAAGAAAGACGACGACAGCATCAAAGAAAAGCTTGAAGAAATTGAAGGTAAGAAAAACATTGTCCACTGCCAATGTGGATGAATCAGAAGGCTACAAAAGTATATATTTCCAGTTAACACGGTAGTGTTGGCTAGGTCATGATGTTTTTATTATGGTCGGAACTAGTCTCATATTTGGAAGGTATATTTGTGTTATGTGCGTAAAATGAAGAATTAACCCAATTGTTGACACTGTTTTCATTTGCAGTATTTTTGTCTGTTCGTGGGTACTCGTGTACAACTGCTGGAGTGCATTTTTGTGTTTTCTAAGCGTCTTATTGAGTTTGATCTTTTCGGAATCGACTAAATATTGATATACGTATCATTGTTTTATCAGCACCTAACGTGAAGCTGTGATATAAATTTACTCATGAAACTGCACATACCTTTTGAAATTTTCAGATTCGCTGGAAAACATGGGAAGCATTATGGAGAGAAACTTCAGAGTTACAACTAACACGATAGAGATTGAAATGAAAGAGGTGAAAGAAAAGCTTACTAGTCTGATAGCCTCAGCTGAAAAAAGCACACAAGAAGGTTAGTTCGTAGAGAGAGCTACTCACAGAAAAAAAATTGTTAAAAGTGACACTGTTTTCTTAAGTACATAACGCAGCTCTTGTGCATGACGACGGTAATCGCTGGATGTCGGCCAACACAGCATATTTTAGTACTTTACTGATTTAAGCGCACACCCTGGCCACCCCACGCACTGGCTCTACATGAAGATACTATGTAATGTGTAGAATGCCACGGAAGCTTAGATTTTCTGCCCTGGCTGCCTCTCGGATTTGATGGTATTTTGACAGCACTCATACATATGAATGATCGTAGGCGAGATAGGTTATCGTCTTGTTTTAGTATTACCTTTCTTATAATGAACCTAACTTCTTAGTAGAGTTAGATGTGATCCGCATACTTCTCAATAAAATAACCGAATCCTTAATCCGGTCATATTGTAGAGTATTCAATTCTACATTAGAAAATAGCTGAATGAGGATCGTCTTGAGTAGAATGGGTTAGACTAAGATGTAAGTGGTTATTTTATATTTCCTGATGAAAAGACTTTAGGTAAAACCTCCCACTTCATTACAGGCGGGTCTCTACATTTTTCAAGCATATTTTTTCCTGATCAAACTGCGCGACAAAGAGGGCGGAAGGCGGTCGTTGATTTTTATTGATTAGTTCGCACAGTCTCGTTAGATACCGAAAAAGTATTGTTCGGACTATCGGCTTCAATGATATCAATATTCATCTCCCGAGTAAATTACTTTA